GTACATGTGCCTTCCAAACCCTGGGATGTGTTCTCCGAGGAGGGTTTGGGGCCATCATTTCAGCTACCACGCTGATCCTAGCCTCCCGAGGGACTAGGAATCAGACATGGCTGCACGTGGTCAGGGCAAGCACAGACGCTGGGGTCAGTCCTGTGGGGGAGCACGAGTTCTCAGGAGGGAGGGGGTGAGAAAAGGCGGCCCTCGAGTCAGGGTGGTGGCACTGTCCACAGGGGACACAGCTCCGTCCCTTCTCCCTGGATTACGCGTCCCAGCTTCCTTCATCCGCCGCATCCCTCTGCACGGGCAGCAGCCTGGGGCACTCTGAGCTCACCCTCTGGGTCTTGGGGACCTGGAGCTTCACCCCAGTAGTGGCTGACCTTCAAGGGGGTGATCTGATCTTTTCTCCTTGGTTTCCTCATCTGCCTCTGCCCCATTAATCAATATGCCAGTTGATTAATTTATTGGATGAATTAATTGATCTCTTGGGGCTCTTAAGAGGAAGAGATTGAGTAGACCAAGCACTTAGCATGGTGCCTAGCACATAGGAGGGGCTCAGTAAAGGTTAGCATTGGCTACCATCATTGTTATACAGGACTGAGCCAGAGTGGAAATCCGTAGAGCTGTACTTAACATGGCTATGTTAATTTTAATTAACACATGCAAAAGAGATGCCCTATATACCAGTTGGGACAGTGAGTGGGCGAGTTCCCTGTACAGGACCACCACCCCCGGAGAATGCCCTCACTGTGACTTTCAGGAGAAGGTGAGGCCCAGGCTGGCCATGGCCCTCCCATTCCAAGAAAGCCAGCTCCTCTGCAGCCCGGGGGGGTGGGACCACGCAGCTCTTCCTTCTCACTTCTAATCTGGGCGGAGACACACTGAGCATCCTCTCAGAAACCCGCGGTGTGCAATTTCCTCCCTGAAACTGAAGCGGCCCCTTCTCAGGCACAGGTGGTGCAAAACAAACCCATCGAGGGCCCTGAATTCTGTGTGAATTCTGTTCGAAACAGGTGTCAGAGAGCTCTGGAGAGCCGGGGCGGGCGGGGGGGCTGCTTTAAGGATGGGTGAACACGGCTCGGGCATGAATTTGAGAACAGAAAAGCCCTCACAGTGGCGGAGATGGTGGATTTGGTCCCAGGAGGGCAAATGCCAAGTTGTGGGCATCGGGTATCACTACGGACACAGAGGAAAGCCAGAGGTCGGCTGGAGAGGGGAGGGCTGTGACGTCAGAGAGGGCCGAGCTCCGGGTTGGGTCATCTACCTTTCCCTTTATCACTTCAGGCCTCTTATCTTCTGCTCTGGGCACATACGTTGTCCTTCCCTGGTGCCACAGGAATGTGACATCAAAACAGCCTGTGATGCGTCAGTGGGATGGTTCTAAGAGCACAGGCTGTGGAGACAAGTGTGAAGGCGCAGAGACGTTCACGGTCTGGCACAGAAACTCACAAATGGAGAACTAAAACCATGGGAGGGTGGCGTCCAGCTGGGGGAAAATACTGGCAATTGCTTAGGACTAAAATTAGCCGCCACCCCAGTTGTTAGAGGTCACAGTGAAGGGGTAACTTGGGGTCACTTCCCTGGAAAACAAAACGAACAGGGCACCACCTGGCCCCTCAGGGACCCATTTGTTAAAGCAACACGTTCCTTTTGGGGTGCACGGAAGAACAAGGGTTTCCGTCTTTGCTTCCTCTGAGTTCTAGTGCGTTCACGAGTAGAGCTGAGACGGTTTTTCTAAAAGGTGTGTCAAGCATTTCTCAGGTTTCGGTTCTTCGAAACGGCATCTGTGTCCTTTTGAGGTCGACACACTCGCCCCTGCGGCAGTGTGACGCTGCTCGCTCACCGGTGTCACTCAGCGGTGTTTTGGTGACGTGCGCACGTCCCGGTGCCCTCCGAGTCACCTCACAACAGCGATCCTAAAAAGTGTCACTTTGTGTAGTTTCATCTTACCCAAAATGTTTAATGGGAAGTAACCATTTCTAGAATGTCCTTTTAATTAGTTTACAACCCAAAGACTTTGGTATGAATGAAGCCATTCAACCAGTACTTCCTGAGCACGCAGCCTCTGCTCAATACCACGCTAGGCATCGGCGGCCACGGACCCGCCCCTACCGTGTGGAGAACTGCAGCCGCGTGAAATGGGCCGTGTGAGGGCTGACGGGGTCTGGAGACCTCCATTTAGTGCCCAGTTCAACCCCTCGCAGCTCCGGAGGAGAAGGCGGGCAGGGATGCTTGCCGGGCTCCACTGGCCGGGGCGTGGCCAGGTTTGAGCAGGATGAGGAGACCACGCTGGCACAAGGAGGAGGATGGAAGCGCAGAAGGCCTCACTGTCTCGCATTCGACACTTTGTTCGCAGCCCGAAATGACCAAAGGTCAAAGCCACCGAGCACCTGCTCCGCGCCCGGGGAATTAATAAGCACGTCCCGTTCATTACTGTTTTGTCCTCCCAGTGACCATCCTGATTCCATTTCACATACTGGGAAACTGAGGCTCAAGGCTTCAGCACCATCTTGGGGCCCTGCACGCCGGAGTCAGATTCTGAAACCGGACCGTTCTGGCTCCAGACCGAAGCCCCAGCTATTACTTAGTTTTGGTGCCCGATACCTGTCTCCGCGCGCTGTCTCCGTGCGCGGTGCATGGAGCCTGTCCCAGGTTCTGTTGCTTCTCACCTGGCCTCTTTTCCCCAGGGCTGTTTCAGAGGACTCCAGCCTGGGAGGCCTGCTGGGTTGGGTGGAGCTCCACCCAGTTATCGGCAGAGGGGCGGCCGAGACCCCGAGCAGCTTCACTGCAAAAGGGGACAGGCACCTCTAAATCTACCGCCCAGGGAGGGACGGACACTCCCACCAAAGAAGCCGAGACGGTGGACCTCCCCCGTGGAGACCACCTGGGACTGTGCTCTACTCAGCAAAGGGGGCCCAGAGAACAGAGAGCAGAATGCCCTGGACATTTGCTTGTATAAATAATTTATTTCTTTTCACAGCATCATATATGCATATAAAAGGGAGTGGGGACAGAAGCGGAGGGTGGTCCAGACAGAACTGTAGCAGGAGGGGTGAAAACAAACCGGGAGACGCTGTCAGAGGACCGGGACCACGACAGAGAATAGGTGAGGAGACTGTCCCAAAACAAAGCTGGCCTCCCTGTGTCGCTCAGAAAACATTTCAAAACGCCTGTGGGGGAGGCCCGCTTCCCTCGGGTGACACCCGCCCACGCTCCCCAGGGCAGGAGACATTGGAAATCACCGAGCACTGCGTTGGAGGCGACCCCCGCGGACCGCTGTGAGGTGGTATTGGGGTCCAGGCTCCCTGTTTGATCAGAGATGAGATGGGCTATCAGTGGGTCAAAAGACACAGAAATCAACCGAGACTAACTATTCGTTAAGACACCACAGGTTTAACTCTACTGCAGTTACTAACAGCTGACTGCACCCTTTCAGTACCGACAATGCAAAAACCAAAGTCATTTTGCATCATTTGTAAAGCACGGCAGGATTCGAACACTCGTCTTGAACTTAGGAACTGTGAGCACGAGAAGGTTACAGTATTTGGCATCTGCAATGTCACAAAATAAATATATTATTCTCTCAATAGTGTGGAACTACCAAAATGTCAAAGTGCTTAAGAAATCGTTGCATGTGAAGAAAATAAAGAAGATGGATTCTTTAAAATAATTCTATACAGAATCTTCAGGGGATGGGACCAGCCCATTTAGAAATCAGTGAATACGCTGTCGATAGGTGAGCTGACACCTTGCAGGCTTTTCGACGCTGCTTCGCTGTTTTCTCTGCCGAGTCCTACAAAAAGACCACCATCGGAGGGGTACCACATACACCAGTGAAGGAGGAAGGAGGGCGGGCGGCTGGGTGCTTCTTTTAAAGTAACTCCTGCAACAACTGGGTTTCAAGCAGGAAATTCTACCTCTGGTTCCTAAATTAACTTTCTGAGTGCAGTGGACAATGGCCATGAACTTGTCATTGGCCTATCTCGCAAGCTTAAGCACGATCATGCCCGACTTCTATGGGCCTCCTTCATGAATTAATTTATAACAGAGGGGGCGGGGGCGGGGGGGGAGCATAACTCTACCTCTAGTCATGGGTTCCAAGAGGAAATCAAAATCCAACAGTGAGCCTAAGTTTCCCTCGAGACACTGTGTTTCAGGGTCAATGACAGCTTCTGCAAACCAAGACTCAGTCCTGATTATAGAGGATTTACTTAAATTACATTATTAAAAATATCTATTCTTTCCCTTTCCCTTCCAAAGCTTCTTTCAAGTACACGGTCCCAGTGCCTGAGTACAGGCGACCGTGACGTCACGCGCTGGCTTTTCAGAGCAAGCACTCACTGTGGTTTGTGTTTGCTCTGCAGGCCGGTGGGTTCCCACCAGCACAGGTGAGGAAGGACCTCACCCTGGGGCTATTCTTTCACTTCCAAATCCATGCGACAAGGTCAGCTTTCATACCCTGGTGGGGTTTTCGTGTCTGGTGCATGACATGAAGTACTCTAGTGAGATCTTTTGAATGAAATACTTAACCCAGGTAGGCCACAGTGAACCCAGTTAGAAATTGAAACGAGTCACCACCTGCAGCATAACAGGATATAAAAGGGCAGGGCAACGTCTTTCCCCACTAGGTGACTATTTCTAGGGTAAGTATTCATTGGTGGAAGTTTCTTTTTCTTTTTTCCAAACATGTCTGAAAACCAAAACCCATCATCAAGCGGTTAGTATTATGAGACATCCCTTGCAAAAAAAAAAAACCATCTTGCAATTCAGCACACATCTGCAGCTGGGCCGCTGACATAAACCCATCAGCAGGCTAAGAGAATTTCAGCTTCCACACGTCCAGGCCTAGATATTTATGCCAATGACACAGTGCAGAGGGAGGTCCCCGTGCCCCCTCTCCCCCCGCACCATCCACCCAGCGTTTACATCCAGAGCCTTACCCCTCAAACACCTCTACCTATCCTGCAAACAGTAAACACATCATGTGCCACCACCTCCAACAGTTTGGCTTTTTAAATTTTTATTGGTCTCTTTGTGTGACAATGACCTACACATGGACAGGGTCCAAGCCATCTGGATGATGTCTGACTCCAAGCTGAAAAGCGGTTCTCAACAAAAACTGGTTCCGTAGTCGCCGAGGACCACCAGGCAAGGTGCATCTCCGAGGCCATTCCGCAGCCAAGGCCAGCACAGAGCCCCTCGCCCTGGGGCTGAGTATTGTTCGGGGCAGTCCTCCCAGAGCCCAAAACACCACCTTGTCTGGGCCCAGAGCAGAACAAATGAGCTTTCATCAGGGGCCGGCCCTGTGACATAAAATAACCCAGCTTTCACTGCCCCTGAGTGCAAGGAGGGGCTGTTCCCCCAGCACCTCCCAACGCCAACATGCCCTCCCCATGAGGGCTCCAGGGGCTCTGGGAGTTGCATACCTCAGGTAACTCGCAGGTGAGGGCGGGGCAGCCTGAACTTCTGGCCTGCTGGAGTAGGAAGAAATTGCTTTTGTCTCTGACATCTGAGCCTTCCACCTGGGCGGGGAGGGCAGACCGCAGCCCCTGCACGTTCACTCCCCAGGGCGGCCTCCCACCCTATTAGGGAGCTCTGGCGTTCAGACAAAAGGTGCCCCCCGGCTTGGGGTGGGAGCAGGTCGAGGGCAGGCTGGTGAGTCAGCATACACACCCCGGGCTTAAGTCACTAGTCCTGCATCTGGGCACAGAGATTCAGTTTTAAAAATCGGAAGCATCGCTTTGGTTCGCTGTCTTTGTTCGCGGGCGCGGGTTCTCGCACATCCATTCATTCCTGCCTGACTCACGCGCTCACTCCCCCCTCGCTCCGGAACGCCGCCGGGCGCATTACCGCTTCTTCTTCTGCTTGAGGGACTTCCTGCGTTTCAGGATCATCTCATAGAGCTTGTCCATGCCCTCGGTGAGGCCCTCGCCGATGATGGCGCACGCCGGCTGGACGTGGTAGGTGGTGGCCGGGATGAGCTCGTGCAGCGCCAGCTGCTTCTCGATCTCGGCCACCGGCAGCGACTTGGGCAGGTCCTGCTTGTTGGCGATGACCAGCAGCGGCGTGCCCTGGTTCTCGGCGAATTTGGTTACCTTGTGCAGCTCCGTCTTGGCCTCCTCCAGCCGGTCCACGTCCACCGAGTCCACCACGTAGATGATGCCGTCCGTGCAGCGGCTGTAGGATTTCCACAGCGGCCGCAGCTTCTCCTGGCCGCCCACGTCCCAGAAGTGGCAGCTGATGCCCTTGGCCGTGCCGTTGCTCAGCTTGATCTTCTCCGTGTTGAAACCGATGGTGGGCACCGTGTTCACGAACTCGTTGAACTTGAGCCGGTAGAGCACCGTGGTCTTGCCGGCCGAGTCCAAGCCCAGCATGACGATGTGCAGGGACTGGAAGGCCGAGATGTTGGAGGAGATGTTGCCCATGGCTCCTCGCTGCGGCGCGGGCCACTGCGGCTGCAGCGGGAGGGCGCCGCCCCCCGAGCGGTGACGGGCCCGCCGCGGCCGGGCGCACCTGGGCCCCGCCTGCCGCCCTCCGCCGCGACCTGACTGGCCTCCGCCGACCCCGGGCGCACCGGTCCGCGCGCTCAGACGCCGCAGCCCCCAAGCCCGTGCCGGCCCGGCATCGCGTTCCTCCGGCAGGCTTTGTCTCCCGCGAAGCCGCCTCCGCTGCCGCGACGCGGGATGCTGGCGCCTGGAATCGTCCTCTGGCCTCGGCTCGCTCTGCGGGTCCCCGGCCGCGCCCCCGAGCTCCGGCCGCTGCCCCGGCTCCCCCCGGCCCGCGGCGAGGTGCTGCGGCGCTCGCCTCTGCCCTGGGCCGCGCTGCGGGGCTGCTCCCGCTCCCGGGGCGCGCCGCGGAGGCGCAGGCGGGGGCGCGGGCTTCCCCGGGTGTCTCTGCTGCCTCTGTCCCCGCAGTCCCTGCGCTGCTGCTGCTGCCGCCGCCGCCGCCGCCGCCTGGAGCCCGCCGCGGCCTGAAGGCGCCCAGCTCCGCCCCTTGGAGCCCCGCCCCGGCCCCGCCCCTCCCCGCCCCGGCCCCGCCCACGCCGCGCCCCGGGTCGGGTGTGGACTTCTCCCTCCAGCCCGCCGTTTTCGCGCCCTTCGGAGCGCTGGGAATCGCCCGCGGTGTCCCCCTCCCGGGCCGCGCCCAGACAATGGGCCCGGGAGCCAGCTCTTCCTCCCAGGCCGGCTGACTCATCTTATAAAAATAGCTCCCGGCTCCCGGAACTCTCCACCCGCCCAGCCCTGGCCCAGGGCTGCCCCCCGGGGCCGCGGCAGCACAGCCTGCCTGGGGAGCAGGGTTGGAGGTTCCAGCCCTGCGGGCCAGGGCGCGGCCCGGGATCCGGAACTAGGCGGCCGCCCCCAGCGTCCGCCCAGGGGCTGTGGAGGGCCCGAGGGTGGGGGGTAAGAGTGCCCGCCGGGGAGCGAGGGCGGTGGGGGCAAGTCCCCAGACCCCGAGGAGAGGGCGAAGGAGGGCGCTGGCTTCAGCGAACCGCCAGCCAGCACCCCTGTACCCAGCCGTGCCCTGGGCCCTGGCCCTCAATGATTCCCTGGCCCGCTTTCCGCCTGAGTTCCAGGGGGCTGGCTCCACCAGGCGGCGGATGCACTGAGGGCCCAGGTTTGTGCCCAGGGTGCCCTGGGGGCCCAGCTTTTCCTGCCTGGGGGCAGCGATGGAAGCAGAAACCCGGCATTTGCAATCTAGGCAGTGATGGGGCTGGAGTGGCAGCTGGGGGTGGGGTGTGAGGATAAGGATAATTTATTTCCAAATAACTCAGACAACTAACCATTCCCAGATAGCCCCTTTGGCTGCCTTTTTTGCTCCCACCACCCATGCTAACATTCCAGGTCAAACAGGACCGTCTGAGGAGAGCGCCCTCTGGCACCCACTTTGAGAACTGAGAACCACCTGCCCACAGTGACCCATTCTGCTGCAGCTGGGGGTCTGGCTGCGTTTGGATGCTGAAACAAAGTATGTCCATGGTTTGGGGTCAGTGGCCCCAGAAGTTACAAACACCAATGTGTGACCGTGGCTTCCATCCCCTCTCACTCCAGTGGTTTTATTCCAGTTTGTAAATACGTAACAAACACACATTCTCTCTGGGGGCAGAGGCCACAGTGCCTTGCAGAAAACACACAGAGACCTGCTCTGGAGGAGAGGCGGGGTGGGGCGGGGAATGCACTCTCAAATTTGTCCATGAAGATGGACATGGGGCCAAGGGGGATAGAAATGAAAATGATAATTACTTAGGAATCAAGCCCCACATTTTATAGGTATGCTTTCCTTTTCCACCTTCCTCTCATGAGCTGGTGTCCTACCACAGAACGATGTATGATGCCCTTGGTACTGAAACACGTGAGAAGACCTTATCTGTAGAAAGCAGGACAAGCCACCCTGTCTCTGGAATTCCTGTGCTGACAGCAGCCACTGCAGCTATCTGCGCTCTGGAGTGGGTCCAGGGGCTGGGAAGGGAATGCCAGGGCTGGAAATGGCCTTGTGGGTTATTCTGTCCAGCCCGTCAGGTGAGGGAACCGCAGCCCAGGCCCATTTTACTGTGCCAAGGCAGTAGCAAGCTGCAGACGGCCCACCCCCAGGCCAGGGGTGCCCACTGTCCCTCCCTCTCCACCCACACACTCTTAACTCAGAGGGGAATGAAGCTGTGAGCAACCTGAAATCAGTTGCAAACGACAGAAATTCAACTCAGATTGAGTTGGACCACAATGAAAATATATTCCGTGGTGACATCAAAAGATTCATGCATGATTCAGACATGGCTAGATCCAGGAGCTCAAAAGAAGTCTTTAGACCAGGTGTCTCTTCATTTCTCCTCTGTTTCCCTCTGCCTTGATTCCTTCTCCTGCAGGCATCCCTGGACTCCCACCCACGGTAACATCCTACAGGAGAAAAGCTCTATCTCTTTCCCATCAACTGAGACAAAAGCCTGGAGGACACATCCCTCTGGCCTTCCCGGTCCACCCCTGCGAGGAGCATTACTGTCCAGCAGGATGGACCACCTCATCGGTGTGGCCCAGCGGCTCACGCGGGGGAGGGCTGGCTCCTAAAGAAGAAGAATCAGGCCTCTGCCCCTGAAGGGCGAATAGCAGTGGGCAAGCAGGAGGAAGAAGCATCGGCATAATTTCTAATGAGATCACTGTGGTCATTGGGAATCTTGGGAAGACAGAATTTTGTGTTTTTCTGGAGTGATCTCCTTGGCTTTCTTCAAGGCCTGCCCCACAGGTAAGCCGCCTTCTCATGAGACTGTTTCTTCTCTCTCTTTCCTCTTTGCCACCGGCAGGGCCTTGGCTGGGTGCCGGCCCCAGACGGGACTTTGATCAGTGGCCTGGATCCTGGACACCTGGGAAGGATCAGGTCAGACTGCGACCTCTGGATCTGGCTCCCACAAATGGTCTTGATACGGGACCCTGCTCCCTCCCTTGCATCTATCCCCTATCAGGTCTTGCTCTTATTTTAAGGAGAGTAGGAGGGAAACACTTTAGTAAAACACCCGATGTGTTTTCTTGGTGATGTAGTAATTACTGCCGACAGTGGACCCCACCTGTGCGCCCCCACCGTGGGGTTTAGCCATCAAGGACTATCTGTTGTCCTGCAGAAAAAGCGGAGTGCTAGACATTAATAGAGCCTTGCAGAACAGAGCCATTAAACAGCGACTCACCATAATTGAATGGCAGCCGCTCTGCATTCTAATTTCACTCACAGGGTGATAAGTTGATTTTACAGTTGATGATTTAACTTCTTTCCCATAACAGCATCACTGGGCTCAGCCAGCCAGCTTTCAGTACGAATTGCAATGGAGAAACCCCGGAATCCTGAAAAGGAAAGTGGTGTTTCCCGCTGAGTCCGGAATGCCAGACTCACTCGGAACCCGGAACCCGGAATCTGGAACCCGTCTCGCCCTGGACGCATGTAGCACCGCGGCCCGGGCTGCGTCACCAGGTCACGTGGGTGCCCCCCCCCCCGTGTTCTGCCCATGGGGCAACACCCAGCTCACTGTTTCTCAAGTGACCCCTCTCCAACCGCGTCTAACACATGTGGTAGCTCTGAAGGATAAATGACATAATACATGTAAAGTGTTTGGCACAGTGCCTGGCACGTGGTAAGTGCTCAATAAACGTTGGCTTGGATCACGACAAGGAATCGCTTCTCTAGTGGTATGCAGCCACTTGAGTTGCGGTGCCCCGCCCCCTGCAGCCGGCCAGTATTCTGTTGAGTAGAAAACATTGGCTGCCTGGGCTCCTCGCTTCATTTTAATTAGTCAGAACAAGACGTTTCTCAGAAAGGTGCACTTGTGTCTTGCCCGAGGTGAATGTCACTTCCCGCAGCAGCCGTGTTTCAGGCCTCTCCCTTCTTTCTCTCCAGCGTCCGGATGACTTGGCCCCCAGAAAGGGACTCAGTTAGCTCAAGTCAGACAGAATGCAATAACTTGGCTGTGATTTGGAAACTGGATCCTGAAACATCATTCTTTTTTTTTCCCCCTTTAAGGGCTTTAGACAAAGTGTGCTGCCTACTAAGGTGACTTTTGAGTGGGTCTAGTGACTAGACCAATGCGTTTCATTGTTATTATCTGTGCTTTCGTTAGCTAATAAGATGCAAAGGTGAACACCCCGTCCGTACCAGAGTGTGGGTAGGGGTAAAGTGCGTGCCCACAAGCATGCGCAAAAGGTGCAAGATTATTTGCGTGTTCTGATTGGCGGCCTGGGTTCAGGTTCGCTGCCCCTGTGCTCAGCTGCGATAATACAGGAGCGCCCTCTACTGAGCTTCTTGTGTAACAGATGAAGGCCTCCGCGGGGGTAAATCCGCCCAGGGCCTTGTAGTAAATGTTCAGTCCACCACTGGAACGAACGAATGTGTAAGTGGATCCCGGACTGGTTCTGAGTTCTCTGAGAGCCACACTCACCAAGCCAAGAACATGCTTCTGTCAGGGCTCAGAGCGTGGGGAGGCGGACTCTCGGACACAGGCCCGTGCAGACCCGGAGGGGTGGCTGGCCAGGAGAGGGAACCAGAAGGCCTGGCTGAGCATGAAGGGGTTGACTGGGAAGTCCATTCGAAGAACCACGAACTGATTGGAAGCGAGAGGGACTCAGTGTCCAGGAAACCCAGCGGAGATTAGAGATCGGAGAAATTGGTTCCTGCGTCCGATCAATGGGCAGGCCAGAGAGCCATCCACGGAGGTAGGACCAGGAGTGGGGACGAAAGCAGGCCCATTGGACGGAAAGCAAGGGGGCCTGAAGCAGCCGGAGCCAGCCGGTCCAGGACTGGAGTTTTGTGGCTGGTGCGAGCGTTTCCTTAAGGAGGACCCCACCCACGTGGCCAGAAGTCTGGCGAGTGGAAGACCGAAGGGCTCCATCACAGGGGCGTCTCTGCGTTCAGGGTGAAACGCCGGCCCCAGCTGCCTGTCCCAGGGACTAACAGACGCAGCGTTGGGGGAGGGGCACTAGATCCTCCAGGTGACCGAGCTGAATCCTTGACATTTGCGGCTTCCTGCTTTATTCGAGTGTCCCAACGACTGGAAATAAGAAGAACCCACTAGTCTTGTCCATTTGAATTTACTACTTTAATGAAAAACAACAAATCAAGTCAAAACAGAAAAATCCAGACAGTTCAGAGCGCCTTATTTTTAATTTTTTGGTGGAGCAACAAGGCTGAAGAAAGCCCAGGTCTCATTTTTTCCAACCACCACCCCTGGGATCACTTCGTAATTGTTTTTTCTGATTTGGGTAAAAAAAAAAAAAAAGATAAAATATTTTTCCCCATTCAAGTCTTCCGTTATCAATTGTTGATCTTGATTACCTGCCCAAGATAGGTATGAAAATTTAGAAGTCATTATCTTTCCTATCAGTATTATTTCCAGATAAGATTCTTTTGTAAGATTGTTTTCAACCTCTCGGGAATACTCGAATTTCATCCCTTAAGTGAACG